AAACTTTCAAGCAAAAAATGTTAGGGTACTTCAGAAAAAATAGTTTGCTGGGCCGCTGCCCAGAGCACGAACCCCCCGCCCGGAACGCCCAAGAGTGGATTATTTTTTTACATCGTGGAGGTGAAAAAGAGGTTCTGTAGCGAAGTATTGGCCATTAAGAAGCAACTTTAACCTGATGAATAAAATCAAATAAAGTATTGTGTTTACCAATTCAAAAAGGAATTTAATGAAATAAAGAATATTGTATATAAGTTGGTCTCGTCTTTAAACTTTTCATGACTGGTAGTTGTTAGGAATGACCATTTAGCAACTGATATACATGGTATTAACACACTCGAAAGGTATAAACGCGCAGAATAAGACGTAATATTGTTACTACAGTTTTACGAAAGGGGCAATACTGGACTGGTGACAGCCTACTGCACAGGAATACTCCGTGTTATTTTAGTCCTTTCACATTTTCGATCGATTGTAATTCTATATTTGGTATAAAATCCTTATATCGATATATGTGAAATATGAGGTTTTGAAGGAAAGAAAAAAATAATTTTAATCTATTCTTGTAAACTCTACACTTCCTTATAAGTTCAAAGGCTTCTTAAATTTGAATAATTAGTATTACGTACTTTAATGTATGTGAAGAGTAATGAAGCTTCATGCAATAGTCCAATCACACAATTAAAGGAACTGCATCGAAATTGTTGCCCAGGTTTTTATTGAGTGTAATCGTCATTAAACGACAAATTACATTTTCTGCGCAGGTAGGTAAAACGAAGTTTTTCTGGGCGTCTTTATCAAGAAATCTGGTGTGAAGGAGAGAAGACAACTCAACCCGAACGGACTTTGTTTTGTTATGGAAGACTTCAAGAAATATTTCAAAACATGGATACATTTTCCGTGTTGACAATCCACGGTCATTTTTCTATTGAGAAATCCAGAAACTTCCGGTTACACAACACAAGAAAGACCTCGAAGAGGAAGGACGACAAAATCTTTGCCGATCACTTCGCAGCCAAACGTTTCGTTTTCACATAGCGTTTGTTATTCTTCAGTAGTGATGTACTTTGCATAATTTGGATCACAGCATTTTGTCCCCGCAACTCGTCTCTAAATCAAGCTCTGAATTCCTGTGTTTATCTTGTCAGACTGGTTGCAAGAAAGAATTTAAATTAATTTTTAAAGACCTGCCTGAAAATGACACCGCATGCTCTACCTTGGCGCTGAAGCTTAGGAAGTCCTGAATTCCAACACAGAGTCGGATTTGTTCTCATCAGTTGAGCCAACGAGTTAGAGTAGTGGCTCTCGTAAGGACTTCTCCACTTTTTTGTTTCCCTTAACTGTTTTTGCCGGAAAAGTGCCATGTCATTCATTAGTCTTTTTTTATTTCTCGCGTAATCGGCATCTCTCGTTTCAAAGGTCGTTGCATTTGGCCATGTCTCGTGAGCATTGAAAAGTCTTCGGTAATAACGTAACACGCTCCTGCGTATGTCAGGACAAAAGAGTTTTCTCTTAACGATGTAACATAAAGCAAAGACATTTGGTGATCAGTTCTCTTGTTGAACCATAAGTAGGAGAAATTTATGATAGAAGTGTGGTCAACGAGTTGAACATATTGTGACAAGACTATTGCTTTTTGGCTGGCTTAACATAATTGATATTTTTTTAAGTTCTCTAAATTTAATTACAATCATAATCTGAATTACTTTTTGTCTAAAAAATAAAACTAATGTACTTTCAAGAAATTACAAGTCATCGTTAGTACGAAATATACAAAAGAAGAATGATGGGGCAGTCAAGAGAGATCGAGCACTCCTTTTATCTAATTAGTAATCGTAGTGATACTCTGTTTTTTTCTTCTCAAAGAATTTCCATAAGAACAATCGACTCACAGATTTCTTCCCACTCAAATTGCCGTTATTTAAATCAACGTATTTAGATAAACTTAAATTGTTCCACTATTTAATGTAAATAATATAATGTTAAAAATGCTTTTAGTTTCACAATATCTAGGTTGATTTTAATTTTCGGATGTTAATCTTGTTTTTCTTCAAATAGGTATTTGCACTTCAGTTGGACATGGCGGATCCAGAGGAACCATGGGAACCATGCCCCTCCCCCAAGTCAACACTTGTTTGTAATTTTATTCAATTTATTTAAAAAATATTGTCTATAGAACTTATCACAAATTATAAATATACATCGTATAAATATACTCGTTCCTTTTTATTCCAAATCAACAATTAAAAACAGGTATTTCAAAAATATTCAGGAGGGATCTGACCTGATCCCCCCCCCCCGTACACACACTATACCCTGCTCCACGTTCTGGTCTTCAGCCTACACGGATTGGGCGAATGAAACTAAAATTATCTGGAGGCATAAGCAACAGGACTGCATTGCGGTTCTGCATCGTACAGTGGTGTATTAGAAGTTGGAGCGTCTCTTCTGGTGTTTTCGGCTTGGGGATTGTCGATCTGCTGTAGAGGCCCTTCACTCCAGGTGCCATAGGATGGGTTGTCTACATCTTGAATTCTAGCTTCAATCCTCTGTACTAGGAGTGGGATTGAGATGATGGAGGGGAGGAGGATTTCGGGAATAAAGAAGTTGATTATTGCTAAATGATAGGCACCAAACAACTTTTTCGTCTACGCATATATATTGTAAAAAGGTACAAATAATATTTGTGAATTCTACTTCTTTAGAATATAATGTTTAATCCATAGTGTTTGCGAGATATTTAAGGACATTGTGAACGTGTCATAATGCCATACGTTCTATATACCATGTGTAATCTATGGCAACCAGTGGTCGATGACACTTGGTAGGAGACACGAATTTAAACTTATTGATTAATTATTAAAATGTATTTGTTTATACATTATAAGGTATTGTGCACAAAATCTAATAAATCGTATTAAAATTAATTAACAGTTAATTATTGGGAGCAATAGTAGCAAATTTCAAAAGACTTTTAGGTTATTTAACAATCTCATTTAAGAAAACATTTTAATGTAATGCCTTTAATTTGTTAATTGAAAATAATATCTGGAGAGTAGGATTATTCACGTATTGTTTAGTTATTTGATTATCTTCTTAGTAAATAAATCTATTTAAAGTAAATTATTTTAATTGTTCGTTATTAAGATTCTGAGTGTTTACGGCCGTTAAGTTAACGCCACAAATGTATACCATGGTTAAATCTCAAACCCTTGCAAAAATGAATTGCTTCTTCATTTCTAATAAATATATTCATGTTAAAAGTAAGAAAAATAGTTTTGCAACAAATTAATGCGGTTATGAAAGATGAAAATTGTTTGACATTTGAATTTTGAAGGTAAAACTGTTCATAATAGAATTGAGTGACTATGTGTTACAGTTACTAGTCAAAACCATTCAAATTTTCAACCTTTTTTTTTTTTCATTTACCTAAATGGTTACTTCTACCGTACATTTTCCCCATATTTTCTCTGTATTGACAAAAAGAAAGTAGAAGAAATGTATACGATACTTAATAAAAAAAATTCAATTAATATCAATAGTAAATTAATAATATTTTTTAATGAGCCCAAATGTACGAAATATAGTATTTCGAAAATGAAGCGTTCGTATTTTGTCGCAATTCCGACAAACCAATTAACACAGGACTATTTTCTAAGTATACAAGATGAGCCAATTCATACGCCAAATAATTACACCATCGTTTTCTCTATTAGGTGAACAAATGTGTTTGTGTTATTTTGGTGAGAAACGCTTCGCTACTGCATAACTGTTTATTTCAGGTTTCTCTTCTTCTCTAATGTCGAGAAGGTTTTGCATAAAGCGAGTCGAAACGCTCAAGATAGTTCAAAGTATTGCCGAAGAAAAACTCGACTTTTTTCGGATTCAAAAGACGAAAAAAGAAAATTTGTGAATTAATGGAATTAGGGTGCGTATTACAATCCAATATCAAGTGCGTCTCGGATCTGCGATATCCCAAGTAATTAAGCTTCTCAGAATCTTCGCCTGCCAGCTGCCCGACAGAATTGCGGAGAGTGCGTTTGTAAATGACGTTCACGACAGTCTACATAAGCGCTTGTCTGGGAAATGCGTGTTAAATTGTGATGACATACACGCTGTGACGAATGGAAAAAATGCAACAAAAACGTATTCTAGGGAATGTATGCTTCTGAAGCCAAAATGGTAACGGAATAGTTAATTTACTGATATTATAAGGGGCACGCCGGTCTGTTTTTACCGCATGTAATGACATTCTGTATTAACGATAAAGTGCAAACGAATGATTACTAGAGTTACTGTCAGCAGGACCGTTAACACGAACTCGTAATTACCAGGTCTCGGTGCATTCTAGATTAGCAAACTTGTAAATGAATATCATGACAAACAGGTTAGGTGCGAATGGTTATTGAGTCATTTTTTTAAATTTTTACGTATTTTTTGTACCTTTGCGTCATTTTTGTAATTTGTACCCATTTTGTTTCCTTTTCGTGTTTTTTGTTAGTTAAAGTTTAATGCATTTACAATTACACACTAAAACAACTTTTTACTGTATTATCACTTAAATGACGAAGTTCAGTCTGCAGTGGACTCTGTTTTTTGAAGTCAAAATTACACGGATATTTGGTAACTTCCTCGAACTTTCAAAACTGACAGATGGAAGATGGGAGCTAAGGGTTACATTTCATCCTAAAATAATGAGTTTATATAAAATACCATTTTATACAAACAAACTTCATTTAAAATTGCAAAATTCATTTCATACAATTTTTTTAGTATTTTTTTAAATGGGTAATTTTCCACTTATTATTCCTCTACATTATATATGTCATTTTTAAAGAATTTTTAGGTAATCAGAGTCCGAATGCTAATTATCTAGTCAAAAAAATTACTTACTATTATTCTAATGTAAGAACAGATTGTAAGTAAGCGTTTAATAATAATAATAATAATAATAATAATAATAATAATAATAATAATAATAATAATAATAATAAATATAATAGAATCCGAGTCTGGTGATTACTATAACACCCTTATTACGTCATCTACGGGGAAAAAATGAAGAAGAAAAAAAAAAAAGATCAGCAACTGCGTTTTCCGCGCGGTGGTCCCGGGGTACCCCCCTCGGCGCCGTCTCCGTGATTCATTCAGGGAGGCTGCACTGCTCCGGCGGTGCGAGGGGAGCGTCGTTCGCCCGTCTGCCGCTGGGCGCGCTGTCCGCGGGCCGGCTGGCGGCACGCCGCGCCGACCGCCGCAGTGTGGGTCGCGGTGGCGGGCAGAACGTTAGTGCTCCGTTGCGTACTCGGTGACACTCGCTCCGTTGCGGCGACCGGTGACTGGAGACGCGGCGAGGGAAGGCCGTGTTGACAGCAGCGAGCGCCCGGCGCCACCGCAGAGGTCACAGCAGGTGAGTGCGAAGAGGCGAAGCTGCCTGCGCGGCCACGTGGCGCCTCGAGTGCTTCCGGGTGAGGGAACGGACCGCCACGGGACGGCAGGTTCAAGGTCGCGCGGGGACGGACGCTGCCGGTGAGCCGGGCAGGTGGAGGCGGCGGCGGCGCGGGCGACCGCCCCCGTCATCGCCGCCGGAAGACGGCGGGCTCGTCCTCGACCCGCGTCACGTGACGGTTGACGCGTGCCGTCGCCGCCTCCGTGGTTATCGCGCAGCCGGAGACGATGTGTGCCGTACGGTTCGTGTCCCACCGCGACCGTTGCCCGTCCCACGTGCGGTGAGCGCCCGGCGCGGGCAAGACACGATGCCATGCCGGTGTAGTTCAGAACTTTTCCTAAAAGTGAAAATGCTTCCCCTGCTAGATATTGTATTAATAAAAATACATTCTATTATTTTCTTAATTCTTTATACCATTATCTCTCACCTATCTAAAATATATTTTATTGTAGAATGGGTAAGTGTATTAAATTTTGATAATAATGTGTGTTAGTAACCATTCCTTTAGCTCAACATTACACTCGTCAAGAATTCATTTTATTGACATTAAAAGTACTTTAATATAATACGAGTGTAGTCCTTAATTATTGAGTGAAAAAACGCGGTGTAAAATGCATACAAAACTGATGAGAGTATTAATGCTTTGACAAATGTATTGAATAGGACTGTCGAAAGTGATTTAAGAAACCACGGCCTCTCAGAAAGTCGTGTGGTTACGTATTGGGTCGAGAAATTCGTCACAGGCCCAGGACGTCTTAATGGGTGGAATCATCTTATCCGGCATTGAGAATAGTCTAGAGAACAATCTCTAAATTAATGTCTTCAAAATTTAATTTCTGTTATCTTATCACTTCTTACAAAATTACTTCTCCATTTTTTTCGTTTTTAGCAAGTGAGACGTCAGTGTATTCAAGTGTAAAATTTGCAAGCAGTTGGTGTTTTTGTCTTCTCCAAGTTTTATAAAGTTAAACGTCTCGCAATATGATTTTTTCTGACGTTTTTGTCTCTACATCCGCGAGAGTTATTTCGTGCATACTCAAGCATCGGTCTTGGCTTTACTTGTAACTTTCACTTCCCGACATTGGGACTGACCGGCTACGTAACTTTCGAGGAGTACACGCCGGCTAATCTTGAGCTTACTAACACATGATTGACAAAATTTAATACTCTTACACATTTTACATTAAAATATACTTTAGATATGTGAAGAGATAATGCTATAAAATGGTAAGAAAATACAATCGATTAAAAATGTCGTTCCTGAGAGCAATTATAATTGTTGCATTATTAAAAGCCGAAAACTTCTTGAAAACAGATTGGCGATCTTAATTGTAACGAATGTAATAATTTATCATGCAAATTTAAACCATTTTGTTTACAGCAACATCGAAGTAAGATGCATCAAATATTGTTGAAAGGTGGATCTGAAGTGTTTTACTGACAGGGACAGTGGATATAAAACTTCGGGAAGTACCCTACACGCGAGAAAGCTCGAGAGATGGGGAGATAAAACTTCAGTTGAAAATACTTTCATTTATCTTTAAATATCTCATTCAATAAATGTAGATGTATTTGGAAATTAACATAATTTTGTAAAACTGAGGTCATGTCAATTGCAAAAAGTGGAAATTAATATTAATTGCAGCTACAATTTACACGAATCGGTTAGCTCATCGCATGTATTCATGGCAATATATGTAAATTCAAAAGCAGTTCCAAGTGCTAGTGGCCTATTTAGTGATGTAGACGGGACGTTCATATTGCAATATCGACAAACAAGATACCAAATCACTGAGGCTATAATTGTACCGACGATACTGTCCTATCACAACCAGTGACATTACGGGTTGGATGAGAGGAAGACGCACGCCTGAATTCGTGGAAAGAGAACTTGGTAGCAGCGTTGAGTATTGTAAGAGTGCGAGCCTCAAGCTTACCATCGCTGCCAGTTACCAGAAATATTAACGAAATTCTGGGAAAGAACTGGGCGTCTATTTTAAAATAGTGAATGCTCATAGGGGTGATAACATGGAGGTCAGTGGATTAAGTACATATGGATTTGTCGATAGATGTGATAACTAGATCAGTAGTGAATGTTGTGCAAAGTTCATTGAGCAGTTTGTGGAATGAAGAAAAATCGCGGTTTTTGCTTCGAAATGCAAAGCTTTATAGGTGGCAGGTGGGATCCTGCCATCTGTCAAAAGTACCTGAGAGAGGGGAGGGAGAAGTTTTCAAAATGTTTAATTTGAATGTTGTAATTATTTAATTCAGATGCATACTTTTTTAGAACTAATGTCTGTAAAATGTGAATTAATTTTTTTGAAATATAGATTTCTATACTTATAATAACAAGTATTTAAACTAGAAATATAACAATTAAATTCGGTATCGCACCCAAATTTACAGCTTATGTACGTAAAGTTTAAATTTGTTTAAATTCTTACGTTTAAAAGAATCGTTATGTCAGATCCTGATTTTCCATTTGGAGAATCTCGTTGTACTACATAAATGAAATCTTCTACTTTTAACAATATTCCTTATCTAAAATACAATAGTCCAAGATTATTATTATTATTATTATTTGAATTTAATTTGATATTATTTTATATGAAAATATAGATTGCTGTTAAGAGGACAGGTGCTCCATGTTGCTCCTTTCGTGGAACTGCTAGGTTTTAATTTAAATAAAACAGTGAAATAATATTTTATTGACGTTTAACCATTTACAGAATTAAGATGTCCCTTTTTTCAGAGTGGTTTTATAACACCACCCACGTGGCGGTTCATTCCTCCTATTATACAAGCAATATGTGTAAATGAATTCAACCTTCAGGAAAGTAGTATCGGTTAATTGTGCATACTAAATCAGCATCTTCAAATCGTAAACAACAAAAAAAGCTTGAAAAAATCCGTTGTGGAGATGCACGTGTGCGTCAATCGCTTTTATCCCTCACTTAGCGGGTAGACTCCTCGCGTTGGGCAGTTTTCCGGGAATTTTTTTTTCTTGGGCCCCGACTGCGTTCCTGTGACGGGGCGTCTGCTGTATGGTGCGTGCGCGATGAAGGACGAGGGACGGGTGCGGGGGACGAGGGACGGGTGCGGGGGACGAGGGACGGGTGCGGGGGACGAGGGACGGGTGCGGGGGACGAGGGGCGTCTGTCGAGGACCCCGAAGGTCGCGCTATGACGCGCGACGCAGTCAGGTTTTTTTTATGGGTTTACGTAAAGAAGGCGGCTGGCGGGGTCTCCGCGGGGCGCCGGCGGGTCTCCCCGTCTGGCTGTTGGGCGCGCTGTGCGTGGAATGGGGCGAGTGAAAGACGTGCTGTGAGGCGATGGGTTGATGGCTCGTGCTGTTACACACGAGGCGCCACGCCACGCCACAGCCAGCTCTTTCACGCTAACAGGCGTGTTTAGAATCATTCCGGTTAGAATCCTTGGAAATTAATGCTCGTTGACCCAAAAAAATTCGACGTGTAATTTTTCGCAGTATTCGTCCTAAGAGTAATTCAAAATATTCCTAGTACAACACACAAAAACAGTTTAAAGTTCATTTCTCATGTTCTTAAGGGAAACAAATGGACTTTTCATTAAATAGCAGCCCCCTGGTGTGATGTTGAGTTTGGAATAATTTGACACTGACGTCTCTTTTGTCAACATTTAATATTTGAACGATTAACGGCTTGTGATAAATTCAACCTGAACTGATCTGTCGTCTTGGAGCCCGAATGTGAGCTCTGAATGGTATTCGAATTTTGATCTGCAGTAACATATGACACCTGAAAATCCGTAATCTTTAAATGAAAATATTTGTCAAGAATACTTGAATGTAACTCTTTATCCTAAAAACTAAATTAACAATTAAATCCATATTCCATCAATTCATTGGCTAATCTATTGCCATTTTAGAATGTGCTATCGTTTCTGTGGGAACTAACAAATTAAAATGTTAAATCTTTGTGATTTAATTTAGGCGAATGCCAACCTTCGGCAAGGAATTGGAGGTGTAACTCATCTGGTGGTTATTAATTTTGTTCAGTTTCATTGCAATTTTTTTAAGATCACTTTTGTTTCACCAATATGTTGCATTTGACCACAGAAATAAGATATTATAGAATCTGTTCACATCTCGTTTTAATATCCTTCATATTAAGAGGACCTTAGTTGGATGAAAATGATTCAATATTTGCAGCTGAAAATATTAGAGTACGTTTTCACTAAATGATTAGTCCTACCGCAATGAACAGTGGACAAGATAAGAATTTTCTGTTTTTTAAATACATGAAATAAAGTTTTGTTTAATATAAATTGTTCTGCTGGTTAAATTTTATTATCATAGAATTTTGAAGTAATATTTTCAGCAGCTCTTTTGTGACCCCAAGGGTATAAAAAGTTTGTGTATTGCGTTATATAATTGTAATTGGAAAATAATGTGAATGGTTTTTAGTTCTGTAAATTTCACGGGGTTCGATAATAACTATAATATATTGAGGCGATCATTCTTTTGAGTAAACAAATTTTCGGGATTGAACAAATTTCCTGTACATTCTTTTGCAAAGCAGAATTTCTACAGGAAAATTAAGAATGTGGCAAGCGAATTTACACCGTCAATTACATTAAAATTATATTAATTAAAATATACAGAAGTTAATGTCGTCTGGGGTGTTCTTTTTTTCCTCAACAAACCAATCAATACTATCTTCTTCAACCATCATGATATATTTAGAACAAAAACGTCAATCTTAGAGAATTGGCCCCCGGGATAATTTCAATAATAGCCACCTTGCCGTACTATTTATATCTGAATTATCAGCACTCTGTCGTTCGCTGCATGTGAGAAAAAAAAGAATAGCTCTGTAATTCAGTGTTCGAACCCTGGAACGAATGAGAGGAATCCGAGAGCGGAGGGCTCCCATTGGTCGATCATCCCGGCGAGGGAGCCTGGCGCGCAGATCGTTCACCCCG